AGATCTGATCAATTTCTTCACCACATCAAAAGCTTTTTGCCCTAAATCGTTTACCGGTGAAATCAAAAGCAACTTTTCCTTATCCGGTGAAATCAAACGTTGGAATCAAAATCGAAGAAATGTCTCACAACGATACGATTCCTCTTTATCAGTCATCTCAATCAGACATCGACGAGATCGAGAATATGATGAGCGATGGTTTTCAATCAGGTCCCGGAACCGTCCTTCCTGCTCGACCACCGAGCCCGATCCGTCCTTCAATACCCGTTTCTTCCTCGCCGTTCGTTCAATCCAACCTCCCACCGCTTCCTCCGTCTTCCTCCTCAGCTCAGAAGGTGATGCCTGTTCCCGTCCCTCCGTCGATTCATCCGGCAGGTAATTCCAGTAGCTCTGAAGGTCCCAAGACTATTGGAGGAAGTGGATTTGGACCTCCGCCAAACACATTGACGGAGCCTGTGTGGGATACTGTAAAGCGAGATCTGTCGCGGATCGTGAGTAATCTGAAGCTTGTGGTTTTTCCGAATCCGTATAGGGAAGATCCTGGGAAGGCACTTAGAGATTGGGATCTATGGGGACCGTTTTTCTTCATTGTGTTCTTGGGGCTTACTCTTTCGTGGTCTGCTTCTGTTAAGAAGGTAAGTTCCCAGATTCAGATTTCAACATTTTCTTTGGAACCCATTTATGGAGTAGAAACCACTTTTCGTGATGCCATTGGATTTTCGATTGTGTGATGAACATTGGAAGCTGGAATTTTAGCTTTAGCGTGTCCTTTTGAAATGTGAGGGATTTTGAAGTGAATTCAATGGTGGCATTTTGATTTCTTAGGCTGAGGCTGCTATAGATTTATATTCATCCGCTGCAGTCAGTTTTTGATGTAACTTATAAGAGTTTTGATTCAGTGAGCAACAAACTAACCAACACACATATTGTTCTTTGGAATCCTTGGAGATGTAGAAATCACTTGTACATTGGCTTTGCGCTTTGTGCTTGTCCCGTTTCAATGTAATTTGAACATTCCTTATCATTGGAAATTTTGAAGTCCATGTACTCGTAATGGGGAATTTAGAAATGCATTCGATGGCAACATTCTAATTGGATATAGAGTTCCTCAAGAATGTTGCTTCTTGTAGCATTGCTCTTAATCTTGATTCTTAGTCTAAGGCAGCCATTATTAGTCTTTCCTCTGCATTTGGATTTTGACTCGTAGAATTGATTCGATGAGCAACAACCAACTCATATGGTTATTTCTTAGTTCTAACTATGCATCCTCCCTTGTCTTACATGGGCAGCATTTGATGTGTAAGATCTT